GTATATATATATATATATATATACCATTACAAAACTATTTAGCTGAAAGATGATATTTCTGCTGGAAATACCCCAGACTGCACAGAAATCCTACAGCTAGCGTTGGTAATCAAGCTTACAAATATTTTTAGAATTCTACACAAATAGAAGTGTGGGGAAATTGCAGTTTGTAGATTCATTAAATAGTGTTTATATAAACTGCAACAAAACTTTTGCGGCTGGTGTTGTTTTAAGAGGGCGGCAATTTATCTCGGCTTTGTTGAAACTAGTTGAGAGCTCATCGATCCTGTCAGAATAAAACTACATTTCTCTAATCTGCAGCCATTTAAAACACTATCTACAACAGGTAAGACATTGATAGTCAGTAATCTTTCCACAAAAGACCTTAACTGTTATTTAACAGCATTCCCATAAGCCTCAGTATTAAATGCTAAACAATAAGACCATGCCAGACTAAGACAGAATCTGAAAAATGGCATTATGCTAGCCACAACTACAAACTTCCAAAGAGCTGAAGAGGCAACATTCATACGATCATTTGTCAACTTGTTCTGGGCTCCTCAGGGGCTTTTTATTGCTCCGCGAGAACATCAAATGGGCTGCACCGGGTCAGCATCAATGTTGCAAGTTTTAGGATAAAATTACAAGCAACCTGGGCTCAATAAAATGGGGCAGGATATGAAAAGGGATTCCAAATCAAAGACAACTGCCCTTGGAAATTGCATTATGGAAATCCAAGATGAGATAGTGTCACTCAAAGAATAATTTCATGCATTTCCACAATGCACAACAAAACTTTCAGAGCACATCTCACGGCTCTTTGAGAAGCAACTGTAATTCCTCATATATGATGATAAAATAGACAAAGTTAGCCATATGAGTTTATATTTCACATATGATGAAAAATGTATTTTCATTACTGTGCACTGATGATACACATGTATTTAGAGGCCGTTTTACCATTTGGGAATGTAGCTAGGATTGGTACTGGCACCAAACTGTGCGATTTTGTCCTTTCTTCTTTTTTTGACTTTGTCCTGTGAGGACAGGGAATCATTCTTACTATGTGAGTCATAACAGCCCACGCACACAGCATACAGTACATCTGATGCACCGAACAGCATTATTATCCAAGTCACTGCAGCACTAATACCAGCTCTCTCCCTCGATGCCATTTTCTGTCTTTCAAACGTATACAGAGAAAATGTCAGTCTTTCTAAGCTCGGCATACTAAGAGACCATAATGGCATTAGCACAGCAAGGCGGAGGTACTCTACCATTCATGCTAACCATGTTTGCCTCTTTCCATCACACTACACAACAAAGGAGCTCATTTCATCAATAAGGAAGGTCCTGAACTCTTCAACTTTGCATTATGGCTGCACTGACACGGCAGCAGGAAGCGGCTCGACTATGAAGGATTCCAAGCACATTTCGCACAAAGCCGGGTGTCCATCCTAAATATGAAAAGTGAATAATGTAAAGAGGTGATGAAGGACCTTTGTGTAAAAAAGGGTTCCTGCTCAGTGGGGGAGAAGGAGATGACAGAAAGAAAGAAACAAAAGCAAAGAAGAGATGAGGTGATGAAAGAAAAAGACAATAAATGACTTTTAGACAAAGGGGGAAGGACGGGAAGATGTCCTCTAATAAATTAACATTAATGTGATGGGTTTTGTTGTGTTTATTTGCTTTATATATA